ATTCTAAGCAAATAAAATATTTTTCATGAACGTACAATATGTTCAAAATAATTATTTCACATAAAAATTACTATTCATGTATTGTAAAATTAATAAAATATTCATTAAGCTTAAAAGAGCTATTTTAACTACTTTGAATATTCTTTCAAGCCCTTTTTGGATTAATTCATGCCTTTAAAACATTTCTCACATGGTTTTTTAATATTTAATTTTATTTTTAATGGGTACCATGTATATATATATATATTATATGATCATAATCATTTCATGTGTCTCTCTACTCTACTAAAGACTATCAAGTCAAAAATTTGTTTCGAATGGGATTATCTTGATCGACTAGCAAGGGACATCACAATAAAAAAAGACTCAAACAATCAATACAAACAAATAATCTAAAAAGAAGATATATTTTCCTCCACTTGCTTGACAAAAAAGACATACATTAATAAAGGCATGACTTCGAAATATTTCTATCACATCATCATCAAACATAGTTGCACATACATCATTAGCCAACAAATATTAGTTAAAGGAATTCTAAACCTTTAAGTGGATGTTAAGAGCTCTCTCTCTCTCTCTCTCTCTCTCTCTCTCTCTCTCTCTCTCATATATATATATATATATATATATATATATATATATATATATATATATATATATATAAAAGGTCAATCTATCCTTTACTCGATGTAAGTTGATCACACCCCTTCTATATAGAGGTTAACACACTAAAATGTTGTTTGGTAACAAAAATATGAAATAGTAAAAATGAGAATATAGGTTTTATTCCTACTTTGTAGTTGTTTAGTTGAAATAAATGAAGTAAAAATAAGAATGAAGAATGAAAATAAAAATTAAATATAGTTTCGTTTTCATAGGAGAGATGAGAATAAAAATAAGAAATGAAAATAATTTTTTTTAAAATAATGATATAATATTTTTATTTATTGTGTATTAACTATTTCTACCACTACCATCTCCTCTATCGATAGTTGTGCTAATAATTTTTTTTAAATTATCGTTATTATTATTATGCTACAACTCCTTTATCACTATCATTATTTTTATTAAACCACTAGCACTACCATCATTCTTTTTCCATTGCCACCTTCGATGATAGTGGTATCAATTTTTTTTAAATATATTATTACTATTACTATATTATTATTACTACCACCTCTTTCTTTTCCTCCTTTTATTCCATCATCACTGCTGCTTGCAATCACTTTTATTATTTTTATTATCATCATAATTGATGAAATTATTTTTTCAATTATTATTCTTATTCGTCTTAAAAATTACATATCAAAAAAACTTAAATTTTATTTCAATTTTCTTCTTATTATTCCAAACATAATATAAGAATGCAAATGTCATTCTAATTTCTTAATTTTTATTTCGATTTTTGCTTTTTTATTTTGAACCTTTCGTTTTTGGTAACTAAATAACACCTAAGTGGTACATGCTCTTCCTTCTAAACTCAAAAATTGATATATATAAAATATCTACTATATTTACAAGCTAATTTTCCTAAAAGCTTACTCAAGCCAAACATCTCTCTTTGTAAGTTAACTTAGCCATCGAAGGATCCTACAAACATTAGAGAAGGATTTGTTTTGCGGAAAATTGTCATCAAATAAACACATATCAAGCTATAATTTCACAATCATCTTGGATTTGAAGCCATTTCACCATTAATCTTAAACGAGGACCATGATCTCACACATATGTTATCAATTTGGTCAATTGAACACAATTGAATACTATTTTTAATTTTAGTTAATTGAATACAATTTGGCTAAATTGAAGGATGAACTACTCCATAGAAAGGGTAGGATAAGTGATATTATTAATAGAATATAAAAAAATTAATAATAAGGAATTATGTAGTTAAAAAAGTACTTAATTGGCTGAGATAAATGTCTAATTTTATAAAATTATACTTAATTAGCTAAAATTGAAAATATAGATGCTTAATTGATTGAACTAAAACATATAGGTTTTTTTTATGAATCGATGAAAATATTTCAGTTAATTTAGTACAATTTTCCTAGATTGAAAAAATGAACTCCTCAATATGGAGGGTGAGATAAGTAATAATAGTAATATGAATGGAAAGAAAATTGATAAAAAAAAATTTATCCTAATTTTTTTTTATCAATTTTCTTTCCATTCATATATAAATTTTAAATTTTAGAAAATTATAATCAATCGACTAAAGTTGAAAAATATAATGCTTAAATGATCAAATGAATAACATATGTTTTTTTTTCCCGAGTTGATAAAAATATTTCGATTGATTAAGTACAATTGCCTAAACTTGCAAATACAAATAAAAGCATAGAGTACAAATAATGGGTTTAACTATTTTTTTTATTATTAGTATTTCATGACTGAAAAGTTCAAAGTGAAAGCCTTTTTAAAAAAGCATACCTATTGAAATACAACTCACCAACATTGTAGCAAAGTAGTAAGTATCGATGTATAGTTTTTAGAGTTAGTTATATAGTAATTGTTTTATGACTAAATAGGTCTCACCTCCTTGAAACTTGGTTCATTTGAAAATCAGTCTATAAATTTCTATTTTTGAATTTAATATCTCTTGAATTTTGTTTTTTTTGTTTTTTTTTTTTAAGATTTAGTCTATCATTTAGTCTTCTATCAAAATTAACGAGCACACAAGTGCAAGTCATGTGTATGCCTATTCATTTATCTTTATAGGAAAAAAAAAACTATTATTATCCTAATCCATTTGTCTTAATTAATCATTAGTTCCTTTCTCCTTTCTTTTTCTTTTATTCACTCTCTTTCTATCTCTCTCTCTCTCTTATTCTCCAACTCTATGTCCAAAACTTTTTCCAACTTTTGCATCATTTCTTTCTTCTCCTTCTTCCTCTCAAAAAATTCCTCATACCTTAATTTCCCTTTTTTTTTTTTTTTGTCTTTTCACTTCCTAATCTCCTATCTCTCCATTGCATCATGCAAAATTACCAAACTATTCTTCTCAATTAAATTCATCATGTCCATATCCTCCATTTCCATGCTTACCTCTCTTACCTCCAACTCCCCTCCTCCCCCCCCCCCCCATAAGAAACCATCATTCCACACTCCACAAAACTCCTTTTCCCTTATGTCTTCAACCATGATAAAGGCAAACTTCACCACCACTTCCCTAGTTAGCAAGTGCCTTTGCATCAACACTAGCTCTTGCTCTACAAATTTGTGAGAAAAGGGGATGAATTTAAAGAATTAAGAGAGAAAGACATAGAACGAGGGAAGAAAAGAAAAGGTAAGAAAAAAGAAACTAATGATTAATTAAGACAAGTGGATTAGGGTAATAGTATCTTTTTATGCTTTTTTTTCCTATAGGTAAATGAACAGTCATAATTGTTACCTATATGTGTGTGTATTGTTAATTTTGATAGAAAACTAAACGATGAACTTAATCTCAAATAAAAAAAAATGCCACATGTGTGAAGTTCAAAGATATCAAATCCATTATAAACTTTTTACCATATCCACACCTTTTTATGGCTTACAATCCATGGTCAACTTTTTACTAACATGCAAAGAATGCGAAAGAGCTCGACCTCCGTCCTTTTTTGTTGCTACTTGTCATAATAGTCCCGAAACAATCATACATGTACTAAGGGATTGTCGTAATGCAGTCGTTATCCGGAATGAAGTTGGGGCATGCAATATGATCTATCATTTGTTTTCTCTTGACCTTTAGGAATGGACATGGTCAAACTTGGCAAAAACCAAATCTTCCAATCCAAAGGCAATGTCTTGAAGCACATGGTTTAGAGTATGCTACTTGGTTTATTTGGTTTTGGAGAAACAAATACTTTTTTTTATGAAAATTTTATTATGCCTAATAGGCGATTGAAATCATTCATGCCTTTACTAATGACATTGCTACTAATATTGAGATGACTTCTTTATTAAGCAAGTCGTATGATAGAAATATTGAAACTACGATTGGATGAGTCAAACCACATTCGGGATGAGTCAAATTTAATATAGATGGTGCATTTCATGTGTTGGTAGGTATTGCTACGTACTGGGGAATACTTAAAGATGTGACGGGGACTTGGTTGTATGATTTCTCCTACCGGATAAAGAATTGTATTGTGCTATGTGCGTAACTTTAAGGCACTGCAATTGGCTTAAAAATAGCTTGGAATTTAGGGTATTGACGGATCGTCTTGGAATATAACTTCATATTTGTAGTCCAGTTAATCCTTTCTTTTAATGGTCATTGTAGGCTTTATCGTCGGTTGGTCTCCACTATTTGCGGACTTCTTTAGAAACCTTGACAAGTGCAAGTTACTCATACTTTTAGAAAAGCCAACTGTTAGATTGACTAGCTTCCTTTGCATGTTTACTTCCTTTCTTTAGGCATTTTGTATTTGGAGCATGCTCCAATAGATTGTATTAACCTCCTTCTTGAAGGTATTTATCGAGTTGTTTATTAACGTTTTCGATAACATCTTGTTTAGAGCTTCCTCTCTCTTACTCTCTCACGAATCACTCTCTCTCTCTCATATATATATATATATATGATCCGAAATTAAAAGTTTAAAATTTAATTTTCAAATGAAGTAAGACCCTTTCAGCGTTGTTTTATTCCTGCTAAACAACTCAATAGAATTCAATTCCCTCCTTTAATGAATTACTCTCTCCACTCGTGTAATGTAAACCAAACAGCCCAGCTAACGGAAAAATTTGAAAACCAAACAGCCCAGCTAAGGGGAAAAATTAGAAAACCAAACAGCACAGAAATTCGATGAAAACAAGGCCACCAAATCTCAACAAACAAACAAGAAAATAAATAGAAGGAAACGCAAACACGGCCCCTGCGTATTTAACGTTGGCAACCCTCAGCTTCTCCCTTGCAGTCTTAGACGCACGCAACAAGCAGCCCCACTGCTTGTTCTCCCATTTTCACTCAGATCTCTCTCTCCCTCTCTCTCTTTTCGTTGAACAAGAAAAAAACAATGGCCTCTATTACAGGAGCTTCAATCTCTGTGCCCTCGATTAAGCTGACTCACGTAATTGCTTTTAACAATCTTTTCAAGTGTCATTTCTTGATCTTTTTTTTTAATGATTTCTTGAATTTTTGAATAAAGCTTCTCCTAATTTCCTTGTTTTGATTTTTAACCAGGCACATAGTAAGAGGATCTCTAGCTTGAATTCGGTTTCACTTTCCATCGGTGGGAAAAGCTTCCCTTCACTTAGATTGCAAAGGGGTGGACCTGGCTTGCGAATCACTTGCGCGGTATGGTTTTCTAACCATCATTCTGCAGTCTGCAGATTAATATTTCGGTTTCTGTCTTTTTTCTTGAAATCTGCAGTAGCAATCACAGTAATATTCGTTGGTGCTATGGTATTTCTTATTTGGAAATAAAGTTTGCCCACCATATGATTTGAATCATCCTATTACATATGCTTTTGATCATAGCAATGTTTCTCAAAACTTGTCTCTAAATTCTAATCTTAAGAAAGTAACATGGGACCTCCACAAATTGCTTTATGGTCAGAGCTCTCCGGACTTTTTTACATCCATTTTTTGTTTTAAACAGTAACCGTAAGTGGTACTGCGCTAGATGATCCAATATGTTGATTTCTTGAGCTTTGCAATAAGGAATATGATTGATTTCTTGATCTTGACCGCAAGTAGTGCTCAAGGTGTACCGGTGTGATGATTTCTTGCTACTTGGCACACACCCTTTGCAAACAGCATTTGCAATGGGAAGATGGTTTAACTATCTTAGGATCAATGTGATGATATAACCGGCAAATATGAATTGCTGATGCTGAGTTCTTTTTTTTTTTTTTTTTTTAGTTCAGGCCAAACCAGAGACAGTGGACACAGTGTGTAATATTGTGAAGAAGCAGTTGGCACTATCAGCTGACACTACTGTCACTGGAGGATCAAAGTTTTCTGAACTTGGAGCTGATTCTCTCGATACGGTACTCTATTCTCTATACCTTCTTATGTTGTCTCATTGATATTACCTTATTAATTGCATTTTATTATTGCTTTTCTATTTTAATTCATCAATTCACCATATGATTTTCTTAGTTGTTTTTTTTTCTTTTCTCGGTTCCCTTTTGGTTGGAATTTTTCAACACGCCACTCTGTCTTTTGCATTGTTTTGTTATTGACATTGAGTTACATCTTCTTGGTGCAGGTCGAGATTGTAATGGGACTTGAGGAAGAATTTGGGATCAGTGTGGAGGAAGAGAGCGCCCAGAGTATTGCTACGGTTCAAGACGCAGCAGATCTTATCGAGAAGCTCATGGAGAAGAACGCTTAAAGAGTCATGAATGAAGTTCGATATAAACTTTAGTTCTATATTTTGGTGGCCTTCAGTTTTCTTGTTCTTCATCAATCAATCAGAGTCACACCTAATTTGATGAATTCACCTGGGATTTTTAGTTAAGGTTAGATTGCCGAAGTTTTAGTAAATGGGTTAAAATGGGTGTGACCACATTTTCATCCCTATATTATTAAGGCTTCGGCACATTAGACCTTGTACTATCAAATTATTCAATCAAATCCTCAGAATTTTTTTTTGGGAAAATATATTCCACGTGTCTTATTCCCTTTAACTTCTCGGTTATGTGCGCTCATGTGGCACCAATGTAGAATGTGAAAATTCAGTTTTTTTTTTTTTATTGGTTACAAAAAAATTCAGATTTTCATGGACTCTTATTTCTTTCTTCCTTGGCAAATCAGACCTTTGAGCAAGCCAAAAATATAAAAAAAGAAAAATTAGAGAAAAAGTGGAGTAGAGAAATTCGATCCCCACTCCCCAATAGCCTGCAGGTGAATTGTGAATGTAAATTATATATATATATTACAGTGAAATGCTATTTGCATGGTCAAAGAACAAATTGTTTTCTTATTCAAGGTGATTTGAATTTACAATAAATAATAATAATATATCATTATTTTGAAAAAAAATTAAAAAAAAAACGTCATTTAATAGTTTTATTTCCACATTTTCCAATGAAAAATAATTATATTTAATTTTTATTTTTATTTTTATTTCATTCTTTTCAATTAAATATTTTAAAAACAATTATTTTTTACTATTTCATTCTTTGTTATCTACCAAGACTTGAATATTGGAAAATAACTGGTGATTCCTCGCACTTAAAAAGCAAAGCAATTCACCTTAAAAAACCAAGAAAGCAAGAAACAAACAATGACAGGGGAATGCAAGTTTTTTTTGGTCCAATAGGAGTCTCACCAAGTTTTTCCTTGGATGGATATCCAATAGCAAGAGCCCCTTTCTATCCCTAAAACTTCCCTATTTGGAGAATATTTCCATGTCTTAATTGTTGAGGCATTATTAACAAATAAAACTAAAAGAATAAGCATTCTCAATTAGATGGCTCCTATGCATTGCTTTCCTTCTCTTTCGTCTATTACAAATCTATTTTTTTATATTTTTTTTGTTTCAACCATCCGATCTAAAATAGGAGCCATCTAATTGAACATTGCTTTATTTCGATCTTGATCATTCATCTAAAAAATCTAACTATCACAGTCATTAAATCATGATATATAAATTCGTTTTGTCTCAGTCTCACTAAGCCTCTATCTTGTTAGATAGGAACATGCACCATTTCCTTCTCTCTCATCTATTACAAATCTATGTTTTTATGTATTTTTTATTTCAACCATCTGATCTAAAGTAATTGCTTTGGAGCCACCTGATTGAACATTGTTTTATTTCGATCTTGACCATCCATCTAAAAAAATCTAACAATCACAATCATTAAATCATGATATATAAATTCATTTTGTCTCGGTCTCACTAAGCCTCCATCTTGTTAGATAGGAACATGCACCATTCTCCTCTTCACCTGAAACCCTTGCTACAATTGCATTAGCGACCACCACAGCCTGACGCTTACCGTCAGTCACTCATCACCACGACACATCATTTTACTTTGATTCAAATTATGCTGCTATTCTACTTTGATTCCATTTCAAAGGATTTATCTTAAAAAAAATTTATTGGAGATTATAAAAAAGCTTAAATATCTGGACTGGTGAGTGGAGAATTTCCAATTGGATCTCATAGAAAGCAGACGCTATCTTCTTCACTTCATAAGAGAGTGCACCCATATCTAGTTTCTGAACCTAGTATTTACTTATCACAAGCATTGATTGAAATGATTTACTGAAACATTATTATGATTGATCTTACATGATTTGCACGAAACAGGAAGTGCAAGATGGGATGAAAAGAAAGAAGGAGGGTGGAAAGAGAGGATTGATGATTGAAAAATGCAGCAAGGAAACCTAGGTCTAAAACAAGATGACGATATAGAAGTAGCCATGTACGTATCTAGTTTCTGTATCCCATCTTGTAGTAGGAAATGCCCAGACAATCTTGCCATCTTTTGCAATTATGATAGCCTTCAACTGAAATCATCAGTTGACATTGATATGTTGTAAACAATTATTGCAGGTTAGATGAGGCAAGATAACCACTCTCCATGAAAGTACCAATTGCATCTAGCAAGATCAATCCATATAGAATGGTTATTGTTCTCAATGACTGCTCAAGAGCATTTTTTTTCTCAAATACCTGCCATATTCTAGGAATTGCATATCACTAAAGTTTCTATATGATATTAAACAATAGATAATTTGCAAACTTGTGTAAGGTTTATATGTTAATGGATTGATCCAGTTACCTGATGATGGATTGCATAATTAAATGATTAAAGCGGTGAGTTGCATTCAAAGATAAAAATGTAGGATCTCTTCGACAATATGACAATCTAAGAAACAACAAAAATATGATGCTTGAAAAAGTGTACTTACGCACTTTTATTGTGCACGCTAAAAAACCGATATGGTTAAAGGAGTAAATCTTTGTTAGCCTTTCTTACAGAGCACCTAAAGAAGGTAATGAAACATCATAATCGCATCAGCTGAACCAAGCAACTACGAAATGAAGAAACTTTTTCAGAGCTTGAGAGAGAGACCGAATCCAATTAAAGGAATATTGCCAAGGGCTTTAGTGTTAGATTCACTAGAAATTTGTTTTCTTTAACTTGGATTTGATGTTATGTAGCAGGTGAGTGAGCAGTCTTCCACGATTGTCAAACCTTGCCTTAATCTTCGTTCGATCGTTCATCATCCATGATCCTCCTACTATCAGACCACTCTCCTTTGTTAAAAAATTTTGGATCACTGTTGTTGCTGTAACTTTCTTCTCATGATCAAAATGATGGATATATGATGCCCTTAACAAGTCAGCCTTATCAATTCTGAAAAATTTAAATAGGGAGAATTGTCTTAAGTCTCCTCGGTTGGGGCAATTATACATAATGACAACAGCTACAAGGATTAATCATGCTAACTCTTATTAGGTTGTTTATGCTGCGAGTATAACTAGGAATTTTTTGTTCAAAGTTTTCACTAATTCAGGAAAATAACTTACAAAGTAATCGATGCATCACAATTTGGCTTTGTCATGCTAAAGCCTGCATCGTACGTGCTAAATTATCTAAAAGCAACATGGTACTTTGTTCTAAGTCCAAATGTAACTCGTGGAGCACTGAAAGTTATGAAAAGCTCAATTTTAGTTGCTGAGTCATCGATCGAAGGAACAGTCATGGGTAAAGTAGCATATTTGTGGAAGGACAGAAGACGATACTAAAATAGAAATGAGGATGGTTTGTTACTACATATGCAATTATCAGAAGCAAAGATGACTATATTTCTCAGTGAAAATGCACTTGATGAAATGAAAATAGCAAAACAAACAGCTTTGGTTCAATCATAAAAACAAGGAAAAAGAAGTAAAGCAAAAAAATATTGAAATGCTGATCCTTTACTGCATTTTAGTTGTATTTCATTTCCATCCTAATTGTAGATACTACAGATTGTTTCTACATTTGGTGATAAAGTAGCTTCATCCAAAATGCAAGAGCTTGATATTGCATCCTACATGATTTTACTTCAAATTCATTACAGATGCATCAATGCTGTTATCAGGAAGAAATTGGCAGACCTATGAGAGTCCATTTATCTGCATTTCCTTTTGTCTTTGATAAAACAGGAGTTAAAATGCCATGAATTTGTTTACTTTCCATGTTTCATCTCATTATGTATGATCATTTCAGTAAGCAGCAGACAATTCATACATGGAAACATGGCAATTTGTTATTTCTTCATGTAAGAGATTAACAAGGTATTCAATGTGAATAAAACTTTGCTAAAGCAAAAAGAGTCCATGCCGTGCCAGACTTGTAATGTGGCAATCTCAGCATAACTGTATTCTTCATGAATGGTGATGTTCTATTCAATGTGAGGGTTGTTAAGAACTGCCATTATATGGAAAGGCATGAGATAGGTAATAGTGAAGTAAAAGAACATAATCTAAGTCTACAATAACGTACTAAGAACTAAGCACAGGAATCCACCGATGAAACTGTATCAACTTTGCCTTGAACAGCAGCACGAGTCTCATCGAAATCAAATTCCATTCCAATACCTTTTTTATGGCGATCTCCAAGTTTTGAAAAATATGCAGCAAGGATTAGTATATAAAAAAAAAAAAAAACATCACACTAAAGGAGAATTTGCAACATACCACTCCAGCATTAGGAGAAGTTGAGATGCTAAACAGATGGTGACTATTATAGAATAGCATGCCTGAAAAATAGTAACAAACCATTATAAGATTTGCAGATAAGTACCATGTGGAAAATATTCTGCCATGTTTATTTCTTCTATTTAGATTACATATAAATAGGAATACAAAAGTGTCTATACTAGAAAAAGAATTCTATACAAATTAAATCTTCTAATTTCTCTCATAATTTCTCTCCCAATCTGTTAGAAATAGATTTCCTCATAATTAGCATTCCTTTGATCTAGGTGCCACTCATTTTTCTTTCTCAACACTTTCCCTTAAGCTGGCTTATAAATATCTTTCATAGCTAGTTTGCTTATCGGAAAATCAAACTCGTTTCTTCCGTAGTCCCTTAGTGAGTATATTAGCTGTATGTTTGGTGATTCGTATGTAAGAAACACAAATTAGGCCACTTTCAAGTTTCTATTCGATAAAATTTCAATACATTTTTTTTTTTCACTCACACACCCAAGGCTCCTAGCAGAATAGTTCTACTAGGATTTGAACATGTGACCTCTTGTTGCAAGAGATTACTATCATTTGGCTACAAGCTCTTTGGTAAATGTCTATCCACTTTGATGTTCTTACTTCGTCATGTTGAATTGGGTTATGTTCAATCAAAATGGCAGCCTTATTGTCAAAATAAACTTTCA